ATCAACAGAAACCGCACAAAATCTTTGTGCAATAATTAGGGATGCCTAAAACATTTTGAATCCGTGTGACTCCGGGCCGGATCGCTAGTATAAAGTAGGTAAGTATAGAACCAATAGTTAATTAGGACGATTCTTCTTGTCTGCAAACTTAAGTCGGACACGTCCGCCTCGCTACCCTTGTCAATGTCTCCTTAACAAAGTTCTACCTATACTATAAATACTGTCAACGATATAGGTAAAGTGCTCCCCAATAGCTCTCATTGTAGTTACTCATATCTTCGTTTGCATAATTTTCACCCCCTATTACATCCCTTCCAGAAAAATAGAAGTTTACGATAGCCTCATATTCGAAGTGCAGTTACTTCGTCTGCATAACTTTCACCCCTTATTACATCCCTACCAGAAAGCCTTTTTATCGACGGCTTTGGAGGTCTAGCGATTTAGCATACTGCTTTACTTCCAATAGTCGCAGGTTCGAATCCTCGCGTCCAAATATTTGTATTCATGAGTATGATTGTTGTGTTGATCTGTGTTTTCTACGTATATTAAATATGAATATTGGAAAAAATCTTAGTTTTTATATCAGTTGCTCAGAACTTTAAAAATACGCAACGGATTTGAATTCAATAGACAGATTGATTCAAGAAGAAGGTTTATATGTATAATTCATGTACGCCCGTGCGAAGCCAGGGCGGATAGCTAGTTTACGATAAACTGATTTCATTCAACTTCATCCTTTTACCAGTACTCCAACTGGGAACAACATAATGCAAAAAAGAACTATGGTCTTATAACTTAATTCTGGTCAACATTATTTCTTATGCTAAGTTCTAGACACATGTTTATGTACAAATACACAAATGTTTTCCTAATACATAACCCAAAAGCTTTTTGCGATTGAGCGACCTAACTTGTGTACAGTAATGTAACACACGATTGAGTTCTTTGATGTCAACAAAATATACAGAAGTCGAAAATACACAATATTTGAAAGAAAGAAAAAATATTTATTCAGTGCTTTTCAAGAATGTTACAATATAAAACTAGATGGCGTTGTGTTAATTGTCCAGGGCTATTTATTTATTATTATTACATATTATAAAAAAATCCATACGAAAAACAAGATTAAATAATATGTCTATATAATTAAACTTAATTTGACATGTAGATAATTAGAAATTAAGATAAAAAAAACATTTTTTACGTACATATAGGCACTGAAATTGTTCCATGAATAGAGACTATTTCTACAATTACTGATTAATATCATTTGAGTTATTGTAAACCATTCCGAATATAAATAAATAAACAATTCAATTAACCAGTTCTCAATAAAATGTTTTTTCCTCAATAGAAAAACGAATACGAAATGCCTACACAAAAGAATGTAAAACGTTTTACAAGTATGAAATTCAGAATTCATAACGTTACTGCAGACAAACATCGAAAAGCAAGGCTTAAATCGTGAATATAATGTAGAATGCAAGAGTACATTGCTACGCCGCGTGGCTACGGTATACGGCAGCGGGCGGGGGGCTGCGGGGGTAGGGGCGGAGGCTCAGTGACCCGGTTATACGGCGTAGAGTGCACTGGCCGTAGCCGCGTAGACACCGCGCCGCGTAGCACGTGACGTTTCTATGTAACAACTTGCTTTTGAAGTCGACTGCATTAATATTGTGATGAAATGATATATCTGTATTGTTCTTACAAAATATTATATTATTGTATAGAAAATACAATTACATAATCTGATATCTCTCGCTCTACCTAGGATCCTAACTATGTAGCCCACATAGTGATGGATTATTTTTCATTGTTTTTGTACAATATATTTTTTATATATATACAATTATGAAAGCAAATATAAAACAAGCAAGATAAAGCTAATGATAGCGTTTTCGTTAAATAGAGAACTTATATTTGGTTTTGTTTATAAATTTATTATATTATAGATTGTTAGTTGATATTAGATGCATTGTAACCGTAGAAAACATATTTATTTATCTATGTTACATACGAATCACGTCTTACTTTTTTAGGTATAATAAGCCTATGACTATTGTCATGTTACGATCTATTTTCACGTAAAATTTCATTACGAATGGATCACCCGAGACAATTTTGCAATTATAATACTATCTGTCACCCGCGATATCGTCTGCTTTTAAATATACGACTATGCTCGTAGTACAATCTATATTTATTTCAAGTATCAATGAAATTTGTCAGCCCGTTAATATTGAATATATAACAAACAGAGGGAGACACTTTCTCATTCTAATATTAGTATTGATTAGTGTGAGTTCTAGTTACGGAGGCGAGGGCAGAAATAGAAATAATCTTTATTCAAATAAACTTAATATAAGCACTCTTGAATAGTATTTTTTTTTATTTACCACTCATTCACTTAATTCATTCAAACTCATCACTAGAAGAATGTAAAGAAACTTGTGTGTTGCTCTTTTATATAAATATTGTTTATTTGAAAGAGCTACACGCATACTTTCTTACACAAAATTCTTAACATTTAAATTTTTAAGAATTGTGAAAAATTTTATTTAAGTTATTACTCGTATATATGAATTTCAAATAAGATACATCGCACATAATAACACATAATTGGGTAGGTGCAGTAACTACCGTTTCGTCTGCTGGCTACTTGCCAGCACTTGAGCTAGACTTACATACTGTTACCGTCGATAAGAAGCGCTGCTACTTTAATTTTAACTCTACCTACTTTTATCTAACAAAAGGTTGCCGAGCTCTGTCGTAAATGATTATCATTAAAAGGACGAAACAGGATTTGACGACCCCAGTGGTCCAACGGTTTAGCACACCGCTTTACTTCCAATGGTCGTGGGTAGGATACAGCTAAAAACATATTATTGGTTCACTATTGACTGACATATCTCTTATTAACTTCTTTTTTTTTTTCATATGTTTATTGCTGTATCAAAAGTAGACGGCGCTATGATTTGGTTTTGTCACTTTATATAAATAGTCTGATATATAAAGTGACAAAAGGAAATCATTCAAATTTTTATATAAATAAAAACAACATCGCTTGTTGTTATCTTTCTTTTTAACACCAGAAGGAGCAATCGTAGTCCAGAGTTCTGTGCTTAATTGTACACGGTTAAAAATATCCCTCTATAAAGCAGCGTGGTAGAATATAAATTATTAGAATAAAAACAGCGTTGAATCAATTAATTATCCGCACCTTGAATCAGAGGCATATTAATCAGCCCAATACGATCCTACTAATTTAAATCATATCGAAAAGCGATCCCTCTTCGTCGCGCTCTTTTATTGCCTAATGAAAAACCGATACCGTGCAATTTTACACCTTAACGTCTTCTCCATTGGTTTACAAATATAACAGCACTGAACTCTCGACCCTATTAAACGAATATCGACTCAAAACCTACACGAACAAAGTAGGCGCATAACCGTATCAAAATTGAGTTTAATGTCCGGGTTCGATGACCCGTGATTCACAAAACTACCCCTGTTACGTTAGGTTTTCCCATTTGTTACAGCTTTGTATTGTACTAGCTTATGTGGATGGTAAGAGGCAATGCGGATCTTTTTATGTGAATAGAATGGGACGGCAAACAAGCTGATGAAAAGATGGATGAATTTGTTTTGAATGAAGAAAATAATTCAACCTTTTTATTCTTGAAGATACTTTGTAGAAAATCGTTTACGTGGATTATCTCTGTCTTGCCTAAATCTGTTGCTAGCAGCTAGCTCCTCAAGTTGTTTTTGTTAAAGAGATAGTATGTAATAACAATGATATTACAGGGTAAGAAAGCATAATAAATTAATTTCCAGAATGGCAACACTTACTACACAAGTTAGTTAATAAAATAGTAAAGCGGCGGTTACCATTTTCCTTCAAATGAACCGTCAGCCCGTTTGTCATTTTAATTACAAAAAATATATTTAAGTATTATTATTGACATGAAACAAATATAAAATAATATTTATAAATTATCTGTTACTGCTGATTTCGTTTGCGTGGAGTCTAACTTCTTTTTTAATTAAAATAAATATTTTTTCGAAAATACATGTAGTTTACGTTACTCTTTATGATATTAGCTATCTGTGAGTGAAAGTCGTGTCATATTGGTACGGTCGTTTCAGAGATATACAAAGAGAACCAGACAAAACTTTTTGAATAATTTTTTTTCATGAAAGTATCAATACTTTCACGTGCATTTAATAAAAAGCTGTTAATTTCAAATTATAAACATACACTACAATTTTATTTATTTGTATAGATTTAAATATCAGCCTCATGCTTACAGCTAAACTGAGATTGTACCACATTTCTATATATACCGCAAGTACTAAGTCGCTACACATTTTCTTATATCAAGATGCTGTGCTCTGTTTTTGCCGCAGTGGGGTAGGATGAGTAGGATAGATATATACATATAACATGTATCAATGCAGGAAAGGAGCCGCAGGGACTTTACACGTGCCGTTTTGCCTCTTAGCAACTCGGACGTATAAATAGTAGAGTTGAAATACTATTATATTAATATTTATAAATGACATTATTAGACCAGTATTTATCTCCGAATATAATATATTATATGACATAACGAAGAAATGTGGTCATATCAGCTGTCGCAGTTTCTGGCACATAGGACCGTAGTGCGCTCGTAGTGACGGCCGGCGGCCGATTGCCGTAATGTCGCCGCGCCGGCCGGTCACATGCAGTAGTCTGGACACACCTCACCTCCCCGACACACTGTCTCGCGCACTACGTCGACATCGGGTGACTAAGCGGCTTCATCTATGCAAAACCAACGTTCACTACTCAAAAGTCTTCAACGTCATGCAATGCCACCATCGCTATCGTTATTTATGTATACGACCTTCAATTTAAAGGCTCTGTTGGGCGCCAATGCGTACCCTATGCGCTGTCCTTGAACGTCGCGTAAAATAGAATGTCCTTGTGATATTTACAGACATATTTTCCTTTGTTTCAGGCTGCAAGATCAAAGCTCTCCGGGCAAAAACGAACACGTACATTAAGACCCCAGTGCGTGGAGAAGAGCCGGTGTTCGTCGTGACCGGCCGCAAGGAAGATGTCGCTCGAGCTAAGCGTGAGATTCTCTCGGCGGCCGAACACTTCTCGCAGATTAGAGCGTCGCGCAAGTGTGGCGCTGCACCGCCGCCGCCCGCTGGAGCTCCCGGGCATGTGACTGCACAGGTGCGCGTGCCGTATCGCGTCGTTGGACTCGTCGTCGGACCCAAGGGTGCCACCATCAAACGCATACAACACACCACCCATACATACATCGTGACGCCGTCGCGCGAGCGCGAGCCCGTATTCGAGGTTACGGGATTGCCAGAAAGCGTGGAAGCAGCTCGTAAAGAAATCGAAGCGCATATTGCACTACGCACAGGTGCGGCCGGCGGCGCCAGCGCCACGCCAGTAGAAGGAGAGCCTCTGGCACAGCTGTACCGCAACGGTATCGCGTCGCTGTTACGACCTGAACAAGAAGCGGCGTTCTCGTCTGCCGGCTCGTGCTCATCGGGCGGATCGTCGGCTCGGCTCGGCGACCTGCTCGGCATCTGGTCATCGACGGAGCGCGATGAGGGGCTTGGGGAGTCTCCATCGTTCGAGTCGCCGGGCGGCTGTGCGGCGGGAGTGTGGGCGTGGGGTCCGACGCGGCCCTCGCCGGCGACGTCACCGGCGCGCGCGTGCTCCGTGTGCGGCGAGCGCGGCGTGGCGGCGGCGCTGGTACCATGTGGACACAACCTGTTCTGCATGGAGTGCGCGCAGGGGCTGGCGGCAGGTGGTGCGCCGTGCCCCGCCTGCTCGGCGCCCGCGATGCAGGCGATCCGCATCATCTCATAAGCGGTGCGCCGCCGGCCGACTCGCATCTCGTGTCGTCCGATGGGCAGCCGTGGGCGCGTGGTGGGCGCCAGTGACCTCCGTTCGCCCCACGCACGCGGATCTCGTCGAGACGCACATTCTCGTTGTAGGAATCGATCTTTTTTACTCGAATCGTTATAAAAATATTAAAAGAATAAAAATTGTGTAATCGAAATCCTGGTGCCAAAAGTCGGCGCCTCGCCGGCACGGCCCGTCCGCCGCGCCGTACCTATCGTAAGTCGGCAGAGTTGTTCACGATATATTTTCTTATTATGAACGTTTTTTATTAGGTCGTCGAGCGCGCGTCGCGCTCGTCGCCGCAGAGAGACTCGAAGTACGTTACGATAGAATTTCGAAAAAAACCATAAAATTTAAAAAAAGTTGTATAATTATTATTGATAGCGTAATGAGAAATCGAAAATTTATAAAGCTTACTTGACGTAATAGCGTAAAGTATTAAGATAATATTATAATAGGCGAGGGACGGGCGGCGCGGGAAGCGTGACGCGCGGCCTGTTGTCTGTTCAGAGTCTAGCTAGCGTAGTGTAGTGCATGCGCGCGAGCGTGCCAGCGTGCGAGCGTGCCAGCATGCCACGTGCCGCCATCGCCGCCGCTGTGTATGGCGCGCCGCGCGCCTAGCTAATGTGTTGTTTTATAGGTAATGAGTTGGTTGGTTGTATGAAAGCCGCGCCGCGCCCGCGCCCCCAAGCAGCGTCGACCGCGCGCTCTCGCCATAGATTAATGACTGTGCTGTGCCGTTTGCGGGCCGTGCCCGCAGCTGCAGCGCCGCGCACTTTGCTGCGTTGCGTTGCGTTGCGTTGCGGTGCGTTGCGTGACGCTGCGCTGCGGGCCGCGGCGCGCCGTACCGTAGCGAGCTAGTTAGGTCGGTCGCCGCGTGCGCCGCTTCCCCGCGCGCCATGCTCACATTATTTTGACTATACGATTATTCGCTTAAATGATATTATACGTACACACTATACTATGATTATGATAATATTAATATAATGTTTGTTTTAAGTGTGTTTTAATGTTTAGATTTTTATTGTAATGTTTTTATGGATGATTTTTATCTGTATGATTATTATTATTGATTATTATTTTATGTGTTGACAATGTTTTTTTGTGATTATGTGTGCCCGAAGTCGGGCCGAGGCTGCTGTATGTTCGTTTACTGGTATATCAAGTAATAATAAATTTAAATAATAAATGATTAAATAATAAAGAACTAATACGACATTCATTATTATAAAGTATAGTAGTCTGTAGCTGGACATTGACTTATTACCTATTGATACTTATTAAGTATTATTATTATTATATTATTGAATAAATTTAAAGAATGCATAATAATTATATTTCATAGGAATCATTATTCTGTATAACTCTAGTTAAATATAACGATATAATAAATATGTTTGTATATGTACCGGGTTACCGGCGGAGCGTGAGTGAGTGAGACAGAGAGAGTGAGAGCGAGAGCGTTGTTGTCTTGTGTTGAGTTCACCGGGGGCCGGTTTTATGGATTGATATTTTTTTATTTTTTTACCGTTATTAGTTTTTGACTTACTCATGTAAAGATACGCGAGATATGATTGCCTATTAGATTATATTTTAAAAAATAATGGTTGCGTAAAATCAGCCCCCGCCGTACGTAGATCCAGTCAGTGATTTCGATGATTTTATTTTCATATAAAATGGGTAGACGCTTTAGTTTCTATAAAGTTGTGAAAATTTGTGAAATTTTGTAGACTACATATCTTATTATAAATGTAATATAAACTATAACTTTCGAACTACCCTCTTTTATTTTATCAGACACCATTAGCTTGGTATGTACGTATAGCAAGCTAATGGTTGAAATCCCAATTTAAAAAATTAAGCAATATTTTACAGCATACTTCTGTAAAATATTATATAATAATAAATAATTTTGAATGTATATCTCACAGCGTTACGAAGACCCTACTCGGGTCTTATAATATGATATATAATATATGTTTGGGTGCTTATAATATGAGACAAAAAAATGGATAGAAAATAATTATAAATTGTCATATATTATACATATCTTAGTTGGCTAGAACATTTCACTCTACAGTTCGCCAAATATCTGCCTTTCTTTTGTTTCCACTTGGATTTGAAATTTATTTTGTTCCTTGAAAAACATGCTTTGAGTACCTGTCAAACTTACAGTAATTTAAAAGTACATGAGATATAAAAAAGATGTAAGGGTAACAAAAATATCATTTTATATAAGAAAGTCAATTGAGTTTCTTACCAATTCTTCTCAATTGAATCTGTATACTGAATTGGAAGGTAGGGAAAAAATTATAATATAAAAAATTTGACGTTCATAAACGGCTGAAATATTCTACATGAAATTTTATTTGATTTTGAATATGTAACTGTATTTGCAATTTTGCTACAAACTGGCAAGTGGCAATCGTCTACTTCATACAACTGTGAACTGCATCATAAACTCGTTATCATAAGACTACCGTGCTACAGTACCTTGTAATACCGAAGTACTTAAAGTCTCATGCCTCCATACACCTCAACTTTACTTCCATACCCTAAAACCGGATTATATCTTACAATATAAGCCGCTTGGCGTCTGAAGTAGGTCACACAGATATATCCACTCAGAAATAGAAATGATCTTTATTCAAATAAACTTATATCAGCACTTTTCAATAGTCGAATATTATTTTTATTATAACACTTTCGGAACGCAGACACAAAATGAACAAACAAGAAACTTACGTGTAGCTCTTTTAAATAAATGTTGTACAGCAAGATACTACACAACATCAACACCCGTTAAGTAACTTTATACAAAGTAAAACTACTCTATAATCCTTTCATAGAGTAGTCTTTACTTTATATGTACTTGTCTGTATATTAATCTTTATACAAAGTAAAAGTTACTTTTAAAACATTATATCACTTATTCATGAAAATCCATCATATTCATATATGCTATCAGGTGAACAACGCAGTCCTTCTGGAAGTCATCGTGATAAATTGATAATGAATTCGCATCGCCAGTTTAACTGACCTGAATTCGATCTCAGATCATATCGTCCTTCACTGGGTGAAGCTGTGAAGGCCAACTGCGGTCAACAGCATTAGAAAAGTTCAGATAAAGTCTAACATCGCCAGCGATTGCGTTAATGATGTTAATATTCGCAAATAGAATTAAAAAACTTTACTGTTGTTTGACATGTTATAGTGAAGTTACTCGCTATTAAATAACTACAAGTATTAGAATGGCAATATACAATAATAAGATCCTCACACAGCGCCATCTAGGCCCAAGTTAAGCAGAGCTTATATTATGGATACTAGACAATTGATATAATTATAACGTTCTGGGTGGGTATACACGTATGTATGTATTACTAGTTAGTAATGAGTTCGTAATATACAGAAAATGTTGTATTACAAAATTTATTAGGTAAATCTTAAATTACTTCTAATATATTAAACTACCAGCAGACCAGAGAAATGTCGTCCTGTCCGAAAAAACTTTGGCGGTTGGATCTCTTCAGTTTTATTTTCAAATCATCATACATATAAAATGTTATCCAAATCGATCGAGACGTTTAGGAGTCAGGTGACAAGCACGCTGAAGAACTAAATAATAAGATACATATATTAAAATACTACGAGAGCTTAAGTATAATAGGAAGAAAACATATATCAAACAGGCTTCTAAAATAAAATATTACTGACATAAAAGTTAAAAATTACACAGTTATTACCAATTCGTGAATAATCCCGCAAGAATCTCGTAGACTCGTAGAACATGCGTAGCGCTGCGTAGCGGTTCTTGGCTACGAGTCACGTAGCGCCTGGCCGCCGCCCTGCCTGCCCCTCACCCCGCGCCGCGCGACTGCGCGCCTCTACGCAAATAAAGGCAACTACACACGATCCTTTTTAAGGATAATTGAATGATGCACCTGTCTACGTTGACGGTATAAGCAGGGGGGTACGAGTGGAGGGTGATATAATAATAATAATAATAATAACCCTGAAAAATTCACACAGCGCCATCTAGTCCTACGCTGATAAAATGCTTATGTTTTTTGTAAATTGAAATATAATGTAATACATAGAAAATACCCAGACCGACACAATCCATCACACGTTTAAAAAAAAATTTTTTGTACCGCGCGAGGATCGAATCCGCGGCCATCGGTCATCTTAGCGAATTCACCTGGAATTAAACATTATTGTTTAAAGAGCCGACCGCGTGAAAATCGCCCTGACGTGTTACATTTTAGCAGTGAGAGCACATTACTAACAAAACAAACAAACATTACAAAAAACAATTATAAAAATTTAAGATTTCCTATACTAACTTTAATGCAAACGTTCCTATTGCATGTTTGAACAAGACGCCAACAAGTGAGTAACAGTGGTCACAAAAATTCTTTCAGTTTAGTATGTACTACCATTTTATTATAATTAATTTTATAACAATATATTGATGGAGATGCAAATAAAGTAGAGAAAACAAATTCAATTATAGAAAAACTTGGCGGGCCGCATAAACATGTTTAATGGGCCGCATTCGGCCCGCGGGCCGCCTGTTGAACATCTCTGGCCCAGCGCTCTCGACCACTACTACAATTTGACTCGAGTACTACACTGATATCAGGCTCGTGTGTAGATGGTTTAAGTTTTTAGAGATTTGCAGTCGACAAGAATCCTTTCAGAGTCTGAGATATGAAACAAGAATGTAATATTCAAATAGCGTTTAATTTTAATAAAACTAGACCCTGATAATACGGTCTAGACATAAACATTTTTAAATAAACGTTTTTTTTGGTACATGAAAAGCATACCCCACAATTACACTTTAGCTATAAAAAATCTATTGTTACTTTTAACAGTTGCTGAATTTCACTAAATTCACAAATGCAACTATTATAAAATACCATCCTGATCATCTGTTCATATGGCGGTCTTCCACAGTGCGTTTTTCCTCCACTTTGCCACGCACAACCACATTGTGGAATCACCTTCCAGCAATGGTATTTCTGAACCGATACTATTATATATTGTAACTTTCAAGATAAGACCTTATTCTTTCGCCGACAAAGCACTTGCAATTCCCCTAGTGCATGGGAGCTCATAATCACTTACCATCAGGTGAACCGCAAGCTCATTTGTGGACAAATATATAAAAAGTAACATATATCAAGCGACTGTATCAAAAAAATCATCGTAGTAAGTTCTATAAAAAAAATGTGCGTGTTCAGGGCCGCGTTTGAGTTGTCAGTTCAAATCCAATGTCTTCCTGCACAGAAAAACGTGTGATCGTGTTCTAGTGCCTAATATCACGGCCGACAGATGCAACACCCTCTTACCTATAAAGTAGCTATTAAAAATACCACATTGCTCATACACTTATCTCTGTACTGCTATAGAAACTACAACTTTATGTCGACGTGACAGAATACAGATCGGTAACGAAGCTGTCACTCAACAGCAAAATTTATTTGGTTTACCCGTGGTGTCAAGTTTCACTAACATCCTGTATTGAGATGTTCAATAAACGGTACTTAATCTAATAAAGAATGGGTACATATTTTAAAACAGCAAATAGTCTATTTAACAAAAGTGCCTCTCCATGGCTACAATAAAAAAAGAACAAGGCAGGCCACCACCTGGTGGAGTAATGACCATAGAGAAATGATAGAGTTGGGCCTGTCAAATGACTAGCAAAACCGACATAACGGGAAGAGTCAAGGATGATGAAGAAATAGTATATGTATATATATATATACTTCGTGTGCTGTGGTGAAGTGAGCTGACTTGTCACCACTCCTTTTCTTCCCCAAAGTGCATTAAACAAGGGAGCTCTAGAGAAACAATTCATCGACAAGTAATTCATTCTCACACGTTGGAGTCTAAGTGCGAACAGTGCGGTTTCAGAGGAGCTTCCATCCACGTACACTTAGATTGTAGAATGAACTACTTGCCGAGGTTTTCTATAGAGGCTATAGCATGGAATTTTTCAAAACCCTCAAGAAACTTTAATATATGTATTTAGCTTACATATATTTATATATATATATAATAGCTTAACTTATATATATGTAATTTAAGCTTGGCACTAGATGGCGCTGTGTGAATTGTCTAGGGTAATTATTATTATTATGGCGAAGATTACAATTTAAATTTAAGACAGTTCTATCTATATTCACGACAATTATTTTTCGTAATTATGACACAAATGACGACTTCGAGACCGTCATGATCATGTTGTCACTATCCAGACAACCAAAAGGTCGTACGTTCGAATCTGGGAGGTACCAATAAAAATTAGTGTTTCAATTAATGTGTTTACTTGTCTTATCGCGTCGTATTAATAAACTTTACAATGTCATTGTCTCAAGCAGGAAATAGGCACGTCCCGTAGTCATTCTAATTATCTCGTGTGTTTTAAATTAAGTCCAGTTAGACATAATTATTTGGTGACCCACTATAGTGGATAAGATGCTAGTTTAATTTTGGTTAGATTATTATTTCAATGATAAACTGCTTTAATAATGGAGTTGTTTAGCATCTTTGTTGACCTAAAGTGCATGGGCGACAACGTTTCTCTCGGCGTCTTT